ACCCTCAAAACGTTTACATAGTTGTCTAGGGAAATCTAGGCCCCACAACCTACACCTTTGTTTCTGTTGTTGTTCCTAGAGTAAAACTCGCTAAAGTGTGACGAACAAATTTCGGCTTAGGGACTGTATGTTAAAAGTTATATTGGTAACCCTTTCTGGTTCTTTGTGCTCTTTCTGACTTCTGTAAGCTGCAGCACCATGTATTAGTAAATCAAAAAAATCTTGGCTGAAGAACAGATTTCACCTGTTCCACTCCCCCACGCGTGTGGGTCTCTGGAGCTACAGGTTCAGCACGTATCATTTAGAACTTTAATAAGCTGATTTGAGGGGTTTGGTATGGAAAAACTACTAGCTCTCTGGGGCTACAGGTTCAGCACTTATCATTTAGAACTTTCATAAGCTGATTCTAGGGGTTGGTATGGAAAAACTAAAGCACGTAACTAGTATAAAGTTTCAAAATTCAGCATAGATTTCCTTTTGCGGATTTTGTTTCCCTCCGTCACTGATAAATGCAGTAGTGTCCGTTCAACCAGTAACACTCTTCTTCAACTGTTCAATTAAAAGGGTTTCCCCTTTAAGACTTGTGACGAAAAAGTCAAAGACTTACGGTTCAAGCACTGCCGGTAAAAATTGCAACGGTAGGTACTCGAGGACAGGTTTATTCAAGTGGTACGGTCAAATCAGTGTCCCTCAAATAAAATTTCATTCTGTCAAGGGCTTGAACCATAGTTGAAAGATACGGGAGAATCCGTATAGATTATGTTTTTTACAGATATTTCAACAGCAAACGTGACCACGGTAGAGCCCTGGCTCATACTCTGACAAACTACTATTGTTGTTTTATTAGCAAAGAATTATGTCAGTATTATTCGCTAGCCCATATGATAAATTTAATCAGTGTAATACCTGTTATCTTAGTCAAAAAGTTGTTATTTTGCGAGAGCAAAATTAAGGTTCGCAAAGACATGCTGTTATTACGGACGCCGATCGATGGCACGGGAA